CTGCCCACCCCCACCCCCTCACTGGGGACCCATCTGTGCATTTGGCAGCCTGGGCAGGTGGGTTGCATGGGGGCACTGTGTCTCAGGGCCCCCACTCTGTACGACAGCTATGCCCACACCTCCATCCGCGCGAGCCTCACCTTCAGCCAGGGTGCCAAGCCAGGGAGGAACATGCGGCGCAAGCTGTTGGCCGTCTTGCGGCTGAAGTGCTGCTCGTTGTTTCTGGATCTGCAGGTGAGCACGGCCCGCAGGCTGAGCCATGCCTGTGAGGCTTGTGTGCCTTACAGCACATGTGTGCCACATGTATGGGTGTGAGTGCATGTGTGTGTGCCATGTGTATGGGTGTGCATGCATGTGCAAGTACACGCATGTACACGTGGAGGCAAATGCCCTCAACCTCGCCTGCACCCATCTTCCTGGACACCGGGGTCCCTCTCCACAGTGGGGTCCAGAGCCACTTGGCGCTCACATCCTGGTTGCTCCCTGCCTGTCCTTCCCTCCAGCGGGTCAGGGCCCACCTGGAGCTGTCCCCGCCTCCCTGTGACCTGGTGATAAAGCAAGAGATGGAGGACTTTCTAGAGGCACTTGAATCATTTGTCTTTCTTTGTGACTCAGGTGAACGGCATCCACACGGTCTATATGAACGTTTACAAGATCTTCTTACTGCAGGCTTACAGGTGGGTTCACGGGCCACACGGCCACAGGGCCGTCTGACCCTGGCTGTCCCTCAGCCCAGGAGAGCATCCTGCGCTCCGGTGTCCTGGGTCATTTGCCAGGTTTCCAGGGGCTGGCACAGCAGCCTTGTGCGTGCACATGTACACCTTGCTTCATTGGAGGTGTCCGTCCCATCACCAGGAGGTGATGGGTGGCCAGCTTGGCCCGGGGTGTCCCCGTTCCTATGTACTGACCCAGGACCTTGCAGGGGCCGGAGCACGAGACATGTTCAGACACCACAGGGCTCAGGTCCCAGGCAGTGGGGGATCAGGTGGGTCAGGTGATGGTCCGCGGCCCCCTGATGTCCCCCAGGAAGGGGTGGTGGGATGTGGCCCCCAAACAACCCAGGGGCCATTCCTGCCCTACTAATGTGAACGTCGGAGGCCCATTCTGCTCCTGGAATATTCTCTGTCCTGGGTGTCTGGACAGCTGTGGGGCCCTTTGGCGGTGGAGCCTTCCTAACAGCTCTCGGGATGGGGGGGTGGGGAGACATTTCTTCCTTTGGGCCGTTGACCCCACTGATCACATTGGCCGCCCTAGCCATAGGGACACAAAGCCGGGCTTTGCTGGTTTCTGAGGGCCACCTGCCCCTTGGCAGCTCTGGGGGCAGCTAACTTCCAGCTGTAGTCAGGACAGAGGGACGTGTGAACCGTGGGGCTGGTCAAGGGGCCAGGCTTCCGTGTGGAGCTGTGGTGAGTCTGTAACCTGGAGCTGTGCATTTGTTGTGCAGTGAGCTTCCTGTCTCATGCGGACGGGGCAGGCTGCATAGGACGCTCCCCTGTGGCGCCAGGCCAGGAAGCTCTCCGGCCCCAGAGGGCCTGTGACCCTGAGTCTGCATGTTGCGTGTCCACTGTCGTGTCGCAGAGCTCACCCGTTCAGCCGGGGCTCCCACGGGGCTCAGGGCTCTGCCTCTGTCCTTGAAACCTGTCGCCTCCAACCATGCACCTCTGCTCTCATGGGCAGCCTGCCTGACGTCTCTGGAAACATGCTCAGAGTGTAGCACGAATGTGCCCACATGCCACACACGGCGAGATTGGAGGTGGTGGACGCTCACCTGCTTCTCTGGCCCCCAGGGGGTAGGAAAACAGTCTGGTGGTGCTTCCAAGGCCAGGGGCAGGCCAGTCCCCCAGCCAGCTGTAGGTCCCACGCTGGTGCCCAGGCCAGCTTCGTCCCTGTCCCCACACCGGGACCTGTCTTCCAGGGCCCAGCTCTGGACACCTGCCCCCACCTGGGGACCCATCCCTCACGGGGCCCAGCTCCAGATACCTGCCCACCAGGAAATGTTTGAGTCCTGGGTTCAGGGAAGTGCCCTCGGGCGGCTCTGTAAGCTCCTCAGTTCAAGCACGTGCAGCCCTATGATGGCAGGTGCTCCATGCTACGGGCTTCTCCACCCACGGGCATGCGTGTCAGTAGTTTCCATGTGGATGTCGAGGCACGTGGGAGACTCTGAGGGCCCCATTCCCTCCGGGGCAGGAGTGTGGTATGTGAAGCTGGCCTGTGAGCAGCGGCTGAGGCGGGCGAGGCCACGTGTGTCCCACTTTGGGTGGGACACTAGCTCATGCACTTGTGTCTGCCCGGAACCCGCCAGGCTCGGCAAGTCTCGTAGCCCTGGGCACGCTTCACTGGCAGTGTTGTAGGTGAGTCCAGGAGTGGAGGCCTTTCCAGAGAGGGTCCTCCACCCATAGAGCAAGCTCCTCCCCCAGGCCACAGCCACAGACTGACCCCGGGACCGCAGACATGACGTCTGTGCATTACCAACCCCAGCTCCAGTCTCCCACAGGTGGGAAAGTACTTCCCTTGGGTTATCACACGAGGTCAGAGTGACATGCGTGCACATGATTCCAGGTGGTCAGCGAGACCAGGAGCACAGGGTACTTGGTGAGAGGCTTGCCAGTGTGTCGCGCACATGCATGCACACAGGGACATGCACACAGGGACGTGGGGGGACATTCCTCCCACGAAGCGTCCTTCCCGCAGGTTCCATGCGTGTGTGCTCCAGCTTCCATTCAACCAGCCAGTGAGGAAGAACCCCTCCTTCTTCCTCTGTGTTATCGCAGACACCGCGTCGTGCTGCTACTCCCTTCTCAAAGCCAGGAACGCAGGTGTGCGTGGGTGCTAAGCAGGCGCCGCTGGCGGGTTTGTGGAGTCACATGGGTGCTCATCTCACATGTCCACGGATGTGCCGTGCGCCCTGGGAGCTCCCCACCAGGCCCTGCCCTGCCAACCCCTGCAACCTCGGCCATGTGTGTGAATCCAAACCAGCAGGGGTGGGGGAGGCCGGGTCCCAGGAACCTGGGGGGCCTGTGTGGCTGCTCGTCCATCTCTGCCCCCCTTCAGCCCCCCAAGGACACTCTCAGCCCCCCTCAGCCTCATCACAGGGCATCTGGTTGGCCTGTAGTTCAGGCTATGCTGTGTGTCCCATGGGTCCTTGGTCTTTCCCTTTTGTGGATGGTTCTTCAGAAAAGTGGAGAAAGCGCCCCCACCAGGGCTCCCTGGTGCTGGGGTGGGGACTGCCCTGGAAACGAAATTGCCCATTTGCCCCTGGCCTGTGCACCTTCTTCTGCGTCAGGGCGGGCAGGGACCCCAGGTCTCTCCGGGAGGGGACCAGGGCTGGGTGGGGCCTTAGCCTGTTCACGTGTCCCTGCAGGGCTGTCCCTGGGGGCCAAGGGCGCCTCTGGCCTGTTTCCTTCCGAAGCCGCACGGTGGCTCTGCTTCCACGCCTTCCTGCTCAAGCTGGCGCGTCACAGTGGCACCTACAGGTGTCTCCTGGGGGCACTCCAGGCAGGCAAGTAGGGTGGGGAGCCCTCGGCCCCAGAGGTGCCCCTTGTGTGACAGGGCCCTGTCCCTGTATGGGGGTGTGTCTGACAGGCAGTGGGGGGGGGTCCAGGAGCTCCAGGTGATGATGGGGTGCAGGCACCCTGGGGTCACAGGCTGTCACCTGAGGGGTGGGCACACCCACCTGGTCACTCCACACCTCACCTCCTGCCTGTGGGGAGAGGCCAGGCCCTGCTTCCCTCCAGCCCTGCTGGTGGATGTCCTCTATGCCCGGACCTGCATCCCCAAACCCCTTCCCCGGCTGCCCCGACACCAGCAGAGGGACCCTCAGCAGCAGATCTTCGCAGACCTCTCTCCCACCCATTCCAGCTGGCACCTGGAGCCTGGCCTGTACCCGGGGCCCAGACCATGCCCACCTGGCCTTCTGCGGGGTCCGGGGCCATCCTGGAGGCCACTTTCTGGGGCATTCATGTATCACTCGTTCCCCTACAGCCAAGGCACACCTGGGCCAGCAGCTCCCTAGGGGGACACTGGCTGCCCTGGAGGCAGCGGCTGACCCCAGCCTGACCGCAGACTTCAAGACCATTTTGGACTGATGCCCCGTGCTGCCCTCAGTCCAGAGGTGCCCTGGCCCATGTGCCTCCACGTGGAGGGAGGGAGGGGCCGGCTCACTTAAGGTCTGAGGCCCTGAGAGTTGAGCTGCTGGCCAGGCTGCCCCAGGAGAGCTTGGCCCACGTGTCTTCCAGGGGGAGAGCAACCCAGCACCCTCCTGTGATTGGGGTTTGGACTGCCAGGAGGGGGTAGGAGAGAAGCCTGTGTGGACCTTGTTCATCCCCGCCCCCTACCCCACCTCTGCGGGACTGCCCCAGGCTGTAAGGACTGCAACGTGTCCCCGAGGGCGCATGGGGGCATGTGGGGTGCTCCGTGCTGGGTGTGGGCTCCTTCCCGCCAACCTGCACAGCGCCCAAGCCTGGACCGTCCACACCCACCTGGGAGCCGTGCCTGCCCCCGGTCAGCCCCGAGCTGCGTCCAAAGTCTGTGCCCCATAGAGCTTTCCCCAGAGGCTGAGGGCCCAGTCAGCTGTTCCAGACCCAGCCCCGCCCATCCTGATGACCTCACCCTGCCCCTTACACCCCCCCGCCAGCCTCCTGGAGCCTTGGTGTCTGGCTCACCCCACCCCGTCTCCACCCCCACTTCCAGCTCTTCCCCCCACCCCAGTCCTTGCACAGCACATGGGGTTCCCAGGCCATTTTGGCGGCGCCCCTCCCGGACCACCCCCTGCCCCTGGACTTACTGCCCCGGTGACTCCTGGAAAGCCACGAAAACAATACACCGAGCCTTTGCTCTTAGAGGTTTCCACTTTTCCATGTTTATATTAAAATACATCATGTGTGAGGCATCCATATCATTTCCCATAATTACAGAGATCTAGGCTGGTGTCCACACATCATGTATAGGGTCCTGGGGCTGATGGGGATTCCACAGGGCTTCCTGGGGCAGGGGTGAGGAGGTTGGGGGGGTGGTAGTAAAGGGCACCCCTGGAGCAGGTGCAGTATGACATCCACCCCACCTACAGCTGACTCCTACTGTGCTGTGGACCCTGGAAGAGCCTGTGGCCCGGGACACACGGTTCCCTGCTAAGTGCATTTCCCCTCTCCACGTGATCTCCTGGATGGCTCCTTGGAGCGGATGGTGGAGTAATGATACAGGGGGTGGGAGGTTGGTGGTAGCCCGCCGCCCCATGTCTAGCCCTGGCCCTTCCCTCTGGGCTGTTAGGCTCCTGCTCCTGTACTCTGGACCTGGGCAGATGGAAGTGCATGTCCATCTGTCCGCTTTGACTCCTGGGGATGGCCCTGTCCCTCTGCCATCCACATCCTGACCGTTGTAGGATTCATTCATTCATTCACATACTGTCATGTCTGTTTAGCTGAGCTCCGAGGCCCTGCTCATGCAGTGCAGACGCGTTGCCCAGCAGCGCCTCAGCCTGGGAGCAGGGGTTGTGGGGATGGACTCTAGGCAGAGCTGTTTGAGCAGGTCCCCAGGGGCGAGCTCTGCAAAGGATCCTGCTTGTGCACCTGGGAGCCTTCCAGGTGGGGGGACAGTAGGAGGGGCCACAGGAAGGGCCATGTTTGGGTGTGGTACTCTGCTCAGGACCATGTGTCAGGGCCTTGGGGTGGGGGCAACCAGTGACCCCACAAGTTGTGGCAAGAAGGGGGTCAGCCCACAGCAGCAGGGTAGCTCAGATGGAACTTATGGGAGAGGTGGGGTTCTCAGGGGCGCTGGGGGATGAGGTGCTGGTTATCAGCCTGAGCTGTCCCTGGGGGCTTGAGCTACGCAGGTGCTCCCCCACATCTCTGGTTTGGCAAATCTGGGGAGGGGCCTGGGTTTGCCCTTGTAGGGAGTTCCAAAATGATGCTGGGGGGCAGGGGCACCCATGCTGAGAACTGCTGCAGGGAAGATGGGCAGCTTCAGTGGTGGCTTCACAGTCAGGGTTAGGAGTTTGGAGGTGGGTAGACGACATCATTGTGGGGTCATGTCTGAAGCCACCAGGGAAGTGGCCTGAGCTCATGGAGGGACCTGTTTGAAAGTGAAGGGTCAGGAGCCCTGCCAGGGCCTGACCTAACAGGCCACTTCAGCCACACAGCCCCTGTGAGGTGCTCCGAGACAGAATGTGCTTTCTCAGGACAAGTGAGCTATTCCCTGGCTCCATCTCGGTTGAGGATGAGCCCACGTGTGGGAGATGCTCATGTGTCCTTCCAGACCACCGGGGGGAGGAGGGCTGCAGTGTGCCAGGGAGGGGGTGCTACGCAGGGTGCTGGACTGACGTCCTTGAACAGATGGAAAGAGCTGCAAGGATTGCCCAGAGAGCAGAAGGGAGCAGCCCAAACAGGGTGTATGTAGCCTGTGAAGAAAGGGGCTGCCAGGGAGCCGCCTCTCAGCCCTGTCCCCTGTTACAGCGGGAAGGCCCATAGCCAAGCAGTTGCCAAGGCTTCCTTCCAGGACGTCCCTGATGGGGCCACATGACATGGTGGGATGCCATCAAGTGTACCTTGGATGGGGTTGGTGCTAACGTAGCCCAAATTTTCCAGGCATACATGCATCTGCTGTCGGGGTTTATGGATATTGCCCTGTTTACTGCTGCTTCTGTGCGGAGCGTCCCAGTGACTGAGCTGACGATCGCTTTATGGCAGACCCAAGTCCACGGTCATAAATGCACCGGAGATGAGCAGTGCAGAATGGGGCCCCACCCAACCCGCACGCTGAGCTGGCCATGCTAGTGGCCACAGCATCATAAACGGAGGGAGGGCTGACCTGCCCTGGTGGGGAAGACAATGCATGGGGACACCGCCGGGACCCCACACCAGGCACCTGAGCTGACCCACCGCTGGCCCGCCTCTGCTCACACACCCCAGGGGCCTGATTCTGGCATTTCTATCACAGACCAGACCCTAGAGGTTCTCCACAAGCTCCAGAGTCCTGATTCTCTGATAGAGGCATTCTGTTGGCATTTTACTCTGGATCACCTGTTCTTACACCTGTTAAAGCCTTGAGGAGACCTATTGGTTAGGCTCAATTCACTAACAACTCTTCCTGGTTTATCTCTTTCTAAAACCAGTGTGTGTCCTGCCAAACTCCAGGTGAATTTGAAAATAAGATGTTTAAAGCAAAAGATAAAACCTAGTTTCCTGGCCTTCCCTAGATCCAAGCTGCATGTTACAAAGGCTCATTGACTGGTATATCCTGGACTGTGTAGGCGGCAGAGTTCAAGATGAGTGTTCAAGATGGAGTTCAGGTTCAAGAGGAGGCATAGCTGGTGCCCCCAGGACCTCCCAGAGTGCTGAGCAGTTACTCCCTGCCACCCCCCCCCCAGCCCCAGGTCCTCACCTGCCACATCCCCAGGCTGGTGCTTGGCACCTGGACACTGTAAAGGGCTTCCCAAACTTGGGTGGACTCAGAACCACCCAGGCTCTTGGGAAGTGGAATAAGGACCCCCACCAAAGACACACACATTCTAATCCCAGAACCTGTGAGTATTACCTGACATGGCAGAGGGGAATTATGGGATTATGGGTGCAGGTGGCTCATCAGTTGACCCCAAGATGGGGAGAGCATCCTGAGTTATCCAGGTATACCCAGGGTGATCACAGGGTGAAGAGGGGGTGGCAGAGAGGCATGGGGGAGAAAGACTCAGTGGTCTTGCTGGTTTTTCGATGGAGGAAGGGGCCACAAGCCATGGGTCACAGCACAGGAGGCAAAGTACAGGACTCACTACCCATGGGGCCCAGGGCACACTTTGGAGGGCACTTGGCTGACTCCGCTCCTCTTAGGGGGGCAGCAGTGCAGGTGCATCTGTGTACTTGGCTCAGGGCTGCCTGTGACGAGGGCAGCCCAACATGCTCACCTGGACCGGGATATTTGGTCACTGGGGTTCTTCAGCACCCTGGACAGTGCTCGCCCCGCTCGGGATGGTTCCCTGTCTCGGGTCTTCCTGAGGTTTGATCCACGGTCTCAGGGGGTGGGTGGGACAAGTCAGAAGCACACCCGTGTATCAGGGCCCAGCCGGCGACTCAGCGTTCCTGAGTCACAGTGTTGTCAGATGAGGGAGAGAGGATGGAGGAGAGCTGGGAGGAGAGGAAGGGAGGGAAGTAGGGGGAGAGGAGATGGTTGGGTACATGGACGGATGGATGGATGGACAGATGATGGATGGATAGAGGGGAGAGGGAGGAGGAGATGGATGGATACATGGATGAATGGACATAAGGATGGATGGATGGATGGATGGATGGATGGATGAGGAGGGAGGGAGGGCTGCGCAGGAGGGCAGGTGGAGGGGTGAGTGCGCTGGAGCTGGATGAGGAAGCACCTCCCACTGAGGCTGCAGCGGGGCATAGTATGGAGTGAGGTCAATGCTCCTTTGGAGACCTTCGGAGCCTGAATGATAATCAGCCTTTTTGTAACTTCTAGACCCACATTTGAGGCTCTGAGAGAATGTCTGAAGAACAAAGGGCTGTGTTGCTCAGAAATAAGGTCAGGAGAGTGGCCGGCGCCCTGACGTGGGCTGCGGCTCCAGCCAGACCTTGTGCTCATGTAGGGAAGACCTGTCCTGGGCTAGGAGTGGCCAGGCCACGGGCTTGGTCAGGACGCCCTGCACACTGGGTTGCCTGGGCCTGGGCATGGACGCAGACCCGTGTCCCTGCTACCCGAGAGGTCCTGTCAGTATGGGTCACTACAGACCCTGCCCATGACCTGAGCACTCCAGGCGCAGAAAGGGACTTCCCTTCCAGCTCATCAAGGGGATAGCCTCCACTTTTCCTTGGAGATCGCCCTTCAGATCCCCTCAACCCTTGTGTGCCAGGCCCCCAGCTGCAAAGGGCATGGATGGGAGCCTCCTCGGAGGCCACTCTGCTGGCCTGCTTGGCCACTGGGCCTGCTTGCCCTCTGCCCTTAGATGGGTTCACTGAGTGCAGCATCTGGCCACCCAGACAGCATCATGTAGCACCCCAGGCTGCGGGGCGCCAGGAGCTGAACACCAGGCTCTCCCGCTCTGGAGAGACCGCGCAAACTGTGGTGATGGAGCTGGGCCGTGCTATGAGCCAGGTCTGGGGGGTGCAGCGACGTGGGGAAGCAGCAACCACGGTCCTTGGGGTCTGGGCAAGTGTGTAATGGGGTCTGGCTGTTGGTGGGCAAGCGGCACACAGGCTGGCCCTCCCTGCCACCCCCGGCCCAGCCCTCAGGAGGCCCCTCCATCCTGCAGATTTGGGCGTCTGTCCTGCCAGGTGTCCTTCTGCTTCCGTCTGTGCTTGGCGAGCAGCTGGACAAGGGCAACACCTGGAACCCACAGTGCAGGCAAGAAGCACAGGAGGACGCAGGTGGCCTGCACCCAGCCTGGGTAGGACTTCTCCTGCCGTGAGGGGAACCGTGCCTGTAGGGACACGAGGCCTCAGGTGAGCATCTGGGGAAGAACATGGTGAGGCTGAGCCTCGGCCACGGTGACTGAGTGGTGTGGGCCTGCCTCCCCCTGCCTCTGCCTGAAGCAAAGCAGCAGGGCTCGTTCACTGCAGGGTGGGCAGTGGAAGAGGCTTGTCCCGGGGCAGCGAGGACACCTCACCCTGAAGTTTCAGGTTCGGGGCTGAGCCTCTCTAGGGTTGGGGCTGTGAGGTGTGGGCCCAGGGCCCGGGGTATGGTGTTCTGCCAAGAGCCTCCCAGCACCTGGAGGGGCTGCTCGACCTTGGGGTGGCCTTGTCCTGACCTGCTGGATGTGGTTGGGCTCTGTGCCCTGCTCCCTTTTCTCTGAGAGAGGGTTACACCACCTACCCGACTTCAGGCACTTCTTTTGAGACCAATGTGAGGAACTAGTGTGTGAATCGATAGGACAATATTCATGAAAACTCTTGAGAAATATGGCATGTTCATCCTTTGCCTGCCCCTGGCGATGGGAGCCAGTCCCTTTGCTCAGCAGAACTTGGAACAGAATTCCCTCCACGCTCCCGAGGAGGGGTAGTGGCACGTATGAGGTTCTGAGGGGCCAGGTGGGGTGGTAGGTGCGCTGGGCCCACGCAGCTTAGAGCACGGCCAGTGGACAAAGGCTGTCACCATAGAGCGGCCTCTGCTCCCTTTCTTCCGACCAGGCTCAGTGGTGGGTCAGCAACATGCACCCTACATACCTTCCTTCAACTCAGACCAGGAGTGGGCACTTGTAGTTCAGCCGCACAGGCCATGGGAAGTCTGGCTCAAGGCCATGTCCCTATATGAGCTGCTCCAGAGACCTGGAAACTGCTGTGGTCCTCCTGCCACTGACTGAGGCCTTGCCCCAGGTCCCGGCCAGAGTTGGCTTCGGTGCCCCCAGGGGACACTGGGGGTCTGGCAGCCTTGGGTCTCACAGCAAAGGCAGCCTGCAAGGTCACTTGGGACGTCATCTGGACCCTGGGCAGCACAGGAAAGGGCCAGGTCAGGCCCAAGGTGGCCCCCCACTCCCTCAGAGGACCTACGTATTGGGTGTTCCAGGCCCTGTAGCTCAGCGGCGTCCAGACCAGAACGGCAATGTAGGCCACGAAAATGGTCAGCAACAGCAGTGGGCTGACAACCTTCCACGTCACCCGCCAGTAGAGGCTAGGTCGCCTCCCGGTCATGCACACTATGTCGTCACTGAACCTGCCACAGAAACACAGGGCTCAGGCTCTCCCACCTGCCCACTTAGCCAGCGGCCTTCATCCAGTGTCACCAAGAGAGGGCCCCCAGGGCTGGCCCTCACCGCCACTCTGGCCTTTGTTCCCACCCCTTTCTGAGTGGCTGCCGTTGGGGAGAGTGCTCCCAGGTCCCCTGGTCGGTATGTGGGAAAGGCCCCAGCGAGCGGGTCATCCAGCTGGGGAAGAGGGCTGGGCAGGAGGGGCTCCCAGGGGTTCCCAGCCTCTGCAGACCCCAGGAGGGAGGCCAGCCCTACCCTGTACAAGATGCCCCAGGAAGGCCCTATGGGTTTCCCTGAGGGAGGCTCCAGCTGCTGTGTGAGAGTGGGGACAGGGGAGCCCCCAAGGCCCCACTTGTGGGAGAGAAGGAGATGTCAGGCCCAGGACCAGACAGGGCTCTGGGACAGGGATGAAGATGATCCAGGACATGCAGTGGCCATGGCTGACACCCTGGGAGTGGGCAGGAGGACAGGACCCTCCTCACAGCCCCTCCGTCAGCTCCTCATGTGTCTTCTCCTGATGCCCTGTGGCTGGTTGTGCCCAGGGCTGTTTCTCTGCACGTTGCTGGGCTAGTCCGCACCATCTGGCTGCCCCCATGCTGCCTCTCCAGGTGAGCAGCATCCCACCTTGGGACAAGCCCTCTGGCCCCAGGCCCACAGCACAGCAGTCAATGCCTGGCATTCGGAGCCTCCCAGGGCCCCCAGGGAATACGGGCAGAGGTCACAACTTCTAGGACCATCTGAGCAGGGCTGTAGGGCTCTGCTGCTCAGGAGTAGCAGGTGTTTGACAGGTGAGACTGTTAGGTGTGAGTGCAAGGGTGACAAGTAGGAGTGACAGGTGTGAGCACAGGTGTTACAGATATGAGTGTCAGGTGTGAGTGACAGGTGAAGGCAAGTGTGAGTGACAGGTGAGAGCAGGTGTGACTGCAGATGTGAGTGACAGGTGTGACAGGTGGGGTGCAGAGTCCAGGTGTGCAGTGGGTCAGAGTCAGGCAGGGACGGGCAGGGCCAGTGCTGGGCCTTTTCAGAGGCTGCTGGGACAGGGTCAAGGTGGGTGGGCCCCCCCGATGCCCCAGTGTCCACTTCTCCTGGGACTTGGGGAATCCACCCTGTGAACTGGAGATAGGCCATCGTACTGCCCATCCCCACAGGCAGGGGGCCCGGGCAGCTGCCCTGAGTCTGGGGAGGGGCTCTGATGGCCACGTGCCATCTCGTGCTGCCAGGAGAGTGGCTGCCCGACACACGTGCACCGCAGTCTTGGGGGTGCTGGGAGCAGAGGGCCGGGGACCTGGGGGCGGTGCACACTCACTGTTGCAGCCCGTAAACATAAGCGACCCCGACCACCTCAAGGAAGGCAAAGATGATGAGGTTGAGAGGGGCGGCATAGTTGTCAAACACCTCGAGCCAGTAGTTTCCCGACTGCAGCGTGAAGCAGATCGCCGAGAGGAAGCATAGCAAGCAGGCCAGCCCTGGAGGAACAGTGCCGCCCCGTCGCCGAGCTGGCCCCCCCGCTTCTCAGGCCTTCCCTGCCCGGTGCACCTGCCCGGTCGGCTCTCCCCACCACGGCCCAGCCCTGTGTCCAGAAGCAGGAAGACGTGCAGGAGGAGACTTGGCGTCAGGGAGCAGTGCTGGCAGTGACCCCTGCTCTGCCCCTGCGTGGCCCCTGGGTCTCCCAGGATGGCCCTCGAGGGATGTTGAGTGGGCGCAGAGCCCCTGGGACCAGCCCCGAGGGGTGGTCAGACCCAGCCCTCCTCGGGGGCTCCGGTGGACAGGGGGCCAGGAGGCAGTGGGACAGGGAGTGGCCTGGGGTCCACTCACCTGTCAGGACCTCCTTGGGGATGGATCTGTGCGTAAGCCCCATGTCCAGGAGTGGCGTAATGATGCTCTCCATGTTCCCAAACATCGAGGACAGGCCCAAGGTGAACAGCATCCCGAAGAACAGCACGGCCCACCCGGGGGCCCCCGGCATGTGGAGGATGGCCTCCGTGAAGATGATGAAGGCCAGGCCCGTGCCTGAGGCGCTCTGCAACACACATGTGCCAGCATGCCCCATGCTATGACACAGTGACTAGCTCACCCCAGGGCCGGGTGGCAGCCCTGCCTGTTTTGGCTACACAGCAAGCCACAGCGGCACCTCCAAGCAAAAGGAACCTCTTCCCTTTTGCTGCTGCGTGGCCAGCAGGTGACCATATTCCTGGGGGGTAGGGCTTAGGTGCATCAGCCCATATCCTTGGGGCCACCACCTGGCCTGGCCACAGCTCAGCTCTGTGACCCATACACTACCCCCAACCCCAGTCCCGTGCACAGGTGACACCTGGTCTCCCGGGCCAGCCTGACCCCCAGCCTCCTGGGCAGGGCACTGTGGGACACATTGCATTTGAGGCCACAGGTTTTCTAGAAGCTCGGCCAAGCTGAGGCTAAGGGTGGGCCTAGAGGCATCGTTCACGGCTCCCAGGCCAGCCTGGGCCAGGTCCGTGGAGGAGATTCGCAGCTGCTGGGAGCAGGGCCAGGCCCCCTGGGTACCTTATCCAGAAAGTCTTCCAGGTGGCAAGCCTCCAGATGGAGCCTGGCCACCCTCTCGGGCTGGGAGGCATTCAGGTGCGTGAGGACGGCTGCGTAGTCGTCCCTGGAGATGCTCTGGTCGGGGAAATCGAACGCATTGATGAGGTGGAGGATGTTTCTGCAGAGACAGGCCAGTGCCCGCTAGGCTGGGTGCCCCGCACCCCAGAGACTCCCAGCAGGACAGCAGGGCCCTCAGGAGGGATGGGCAGCTGCGGGGACAGAAGGGACCCCGCCTGGAGGGGCGGCCCCTGAGGCCCACAGTGGGCAGTGGGCCCCGGCCTCCTTGACTGCGCACCGGCAGTGCCCTGGGAGGGTTTTGGGCAGATCAGCCGCACCAGGTCCCCATCTGCCTGCCACCGCCCTCAGATGCTCACTGGTTCGAGTGCGGCCCAAACACACGCCCAAGGGCGTTCCCGAGCTTGTTACTTTGCCTACTTGCTGAAATAGATTTGTAACCTTGAAATCAATACTTGTGGTGCTTCTGGCGTGGTCAGCGGCCTGCCCCGGGTTGGTGGGCAACACTCAGCCCTCCGGATTCACCTCCTCCTGTCACAGGGACCCTCACAGTCTGTTCAGGCCACGGTGTTTGCAGATCTGTGCTGTTTGCAGGTGATTTGCTGCTTAAATGTGCCTCGAGTACTGCGCTGATGTGCCCTGGGTCCTGCGCGTGAGGCAGCCGGGCCCAAACTCCCGGGGACGACGCAGCAGAAGCACCTCACGTAGGCCTGGGTTGCTGCTGTCGCCGTGAGCACAGACTTGCTCACAAGGCTCAGTGGCCACAGCTGGGCGCTGCCCCTGCTGCTCCCTAGCGGGCATCTCACAGTTCACCATGTGGGTGCTGCAGCCTCTCGGGAACATTCCAGCGGGTGCACTTGCCCCGGGGCCCAAGCTCAGGCTGTTCTGTGCAGCCGCTCCACTGCCCCTCCACCCTCTGCACGACTCAAACGTGCTCACAGCAGGTGTCACTGGGGCCGTTCAACACCAACACGACAGGGGGCCGGTCGTTCTACGGGGGCTTCCCTGGGCCCCAGGCCCTCCGGCAGCATCATAGGGGGTGAGCCTGCGCATGTCTGTTGGGGCCGCCTGGCAAACCACCTCGGACAGGCTATTTGCGGGCCAGAATTGACAGCCTTAGCAGTGCCGCACCACTGACACCATCCCCATGGCCTCCGAGCCCCAGGCTGTCGTGGCAGGTGACTACGGCTGAAAACCTTAGAGCAAACGGACACTCATCCTCCTGACTCTGGGGCCAGAGGTCCACGGTGCAGTGTGGGCAGGGCCACGCTCCCATGAGCTCTGCAGGGGATGGTGCTTCCCGCCACTGGGCTCGTGGCCGCGTCCTTCCAACCTCTGCCTCATCCAAGGCCTCCCTCATGGGTCTCCCGCAAGGACACGAGCCACTGGATTGGGCCACTCATCAACAGGACCTCCTCTTAACCAGCAGCGACCAGAGACATCCCCACCCCCAGCCGACACCAGGTCACATTTGGGCTGCAGGTGGACATGAACTTCTGGACACTCCACCGCATGCCCCTCAGGAAATAAAAGGTGGTTTGTGGGCATCGTCTGGAGGCCATGCACTGTGGACAGCTCGCCCTCAGGCCCCAGGCACCGTGCTCACCTGTCCAGGCAACGCCCATGGTCGTTGGCTGCCTTGAATCCCAAGACGGAGAACACGGCGATGGAGGCATAGAGGGAGGTCATGCTGTTGACCAGGGCGATGGTCACTGCGTCCTTCTCACAGTTGTTCCTGGAAAACACATGCATAGCGCCTCTGTGCTTAGGGCTGCCTCCATGCCCCCTTCTGGGACACCCCGCCCTACACACGAGCCCCACACCCAAGACCCCCAGCACCAGCGCTGCTCCCAGTAGTCTCAGGATGGCCTTGGATCCCCTTCCACAGTCCCCTCCCCACTGACTCCTCCCTGACCACCTCTCCCTGACCATCCCTCCCCGTTGATCTCTCCCTGACCATCCCTCCCCGCTGACCTCTCCCTGACCACCCCTCCCCACTGACACCCTCCTTGCCCTGCCAGCTGGGAGACTGCGGGTGGTCAGCCTCCACCCCTGCCTGGACACAGGCAGCAGGGGCGTAGGGCATCATGGAGCCTACAGTAAACTTTGCTGAGATGATCTGCAAGCTACTTGGAGTGGGCTGAGGTGGTCACTTGGTTGCAGTCGTGTGGAGCATCCTGGGCCCACCCCCCACACCCCACCCCTGCATGTCTGAGGGGGATAAGTTCTGACCACTGCATAGGGTCACGTTTGTTCAGATGGTCCCAGAGCTTGCAGCTGCCTGGTTGGTGACAGGTGGTGCTTTATGCCTGAGACTCCTGGGGCTCCCACAGCAGGTGTGAGCCCCATGTCCATCTTAAGGGACCAGGGAGCCTGAAACACCCTGTATTTCTGCTTTTATGACCCCGTGCATGACACACATGGCCTGCTGGTCGGTGTCAGCCTCCGGTGATGGCTTGGTTCCTGGCATTATCTGTGCTCTCCCACTCCAGATCAGGCTGGGAGCTGTCTTGGGGTCCCTCCCCACAGCCTTGGGGAGATGATGGAGTCATTGGTAGGATCCCTACAATCTGTTCCTGTCACAAGTTCACAGCCAATCACTCTGCTGCACACAGGACATGACGGTGCAAGTGCTTTGTGCTTCTCCCAGGAGCATCTCCCAGGAGTGTCTCCCAGGAGCTTCAGGCGGGAGGCTCAGCACCTCAGTTGGAAGGAACTACCCCAAGCCTTGTCCCTACCTGGGTGGGTTATAACTTGCAAAAGCAATGTGTCCTCCGAAGGCCAGGGACAGTGAGAAGAATATCTGCGTGGCTGCGTCCAGCCACACTCGGGGGTTCTGGAGAATCTGCACCTGGAAGGACGCACAATCCTGTTGTGCAGCAGATGACCACATGCACCGTGGAGCCCACAGCTCCAGAACATTCCCAAAGCTTCCTTCGGGACGATGCTCAGTTGGGGGTATGAACAGCTTGGAAGCACCGTCGGAAGAGCAGATCACACGGCAAGTGTGGTCTTGCTGTTCTGTGACGCATCAAACCCACGGCTCCCATCCACGCGGGACACTCAGGGTGACTGACCCCTCGGGGCTGAGAAATGGGTCTGAGCAGCTTGACTCGGGTGTGTTTATTCTGCTTCATTCATATCCACTGGCTCTGAGTGACCTGAAAGGTCTCATGTGGTGGGACACAGTGCCTGGTGTCTGTGGCTGGGGATGGCCCCAGGCAGACCCACCTGGACACCCAGTGCCCCCTTCCTCCTGCTGGGTGCCCTGGAAGCTCCCAGGGGGTGCTAGGGTCCTAGAGAGAGTGGTAGGGTCCAGGAAGGGTGTGAGCTCCAGTGGGTGGGCCCTGGGTCCTGTGGCTCCTCTCCTGGTGGGCTGCATGTTACAAACCGAGTCCCCCTCTGACCCTGGCCTCCTGCCTGAGACCCATGCCACCTCCTCCCTGCCCTCACCCGCACACGGCCTCTGGTGGGGCCTGGCTTCTGTCTCACGGCCATTCCCATGGCTGGGGATGGAGCAAGCTGGCCTGGGCTGTGGCTCTGACTCATGTTTTCCCTGGTGCCTGGAGCCTGGACTTCAAACCAACTTACATCTGGCGTGAACAAGTAGATTAACCCTTCGACCGCCCCGGGCAGGGTGAGTCCTCTGATAAGGAAAATTGTCAGGACCAGGTACGGGAACAGGGCTGTGAAATAAATTGCCTTTAAAAGAGACCAAATTGTTAGACTTTTCACTGGTATATGCTCCGTTTAAAACCTTAAAGAGGCAGGTGTGCTCTGAACACCTCAGCGGCCAGCGACCTGTCACCCATGTGGGATTCCAGCTGAGCAGGGGTGCAGGGCACCAAGAACTGAGGGGGCTCCAGTCAGGCTCTGAGGGTCTGGGGCTCGGGGGACGATCACAAGCAGATTCATGTATGCCTTTGTGTTTGTGTGGTGGGTGCTGACCATCCCAGGCCAGTGGGCCTCCCTCGTACCCACACGCATGCTCCCTAGGAACAGAGGGGACCCATAGGAAACAGAGACAGGATGGCAGACTGAGCCTGGATTAGTAGTCACACTAAACGTAAATGGTCTAAACAGTTACACAAGAGCAGGGACTGCCAGCATGGATAGAAAAGTTCCTTGTAGAAGAAAGACAGTTTACACAAAGAGACCCAAACACGTTAAAAGAAAAAGAACAGAGAAAATCTCCCCGTTGGCATCTGAGCAGAGCGTCGTCAGGCAGAGGTACCCATCTCTGCAGAGTGCATGATCTTCATGCCTGTGCCCTCCCAGCAGAGCCTCTGACCTTGGTCACCAACACTGAGCTGGAGGGAGCCGGGCAGTGGGGTCTGCCCAAGGGTCTCACCTTCCCCGTGGATTCAATGCCTCTGATGACACACAGGTACACAACTGCCCAGGATGCGGCTAAGCAGGCCAGCAGCCGCCCCTGGATGGAGCCGCTGTCGCTAATGTCAGCTGTGATGTTCAGCGTCTGCCGGTACCAGAAGTAGCTCACGGTACTGCTGGCCTGGCACTCGGCCTCAAACCCTAGAACCAGGAGGGTCCCATCAGGGGCTCTATGGGGCTCAGTCCTGGGTGTGGGCTCTGCGGACCTCCACCAGGAGTGCCACCTGTGGCTGACCTGGCCCAGGGATGCCGCCCGAGTGCCAGGCACAGCAGGTGGGACCCATGCCTGCCGCCGTCCAGGGTGTGCAGCTGGGGCAGGAGGGCCAATGAGGAGAGCGTCCAGGCCCAGACCTGCCCCTGGGTGGCCTCCTTCAGAATGTGCCCAGCTCAACTTAGTATCAGCAGAGGTGGGAGGGGAAGGAGGCTTAACACAGTTGTATGAGCCAGTGCCAAATATAGCTATTTCGTGTGCTGTGAGGACCTCCTTGGCTGAAGCCTGAGGCAGGGGCACACGTGCACACAGCTGGGCTGGGGGCACACATGGTGTCAGGGCCTGTACCCATCAGTGCTCAGAAATGGTGGGGTAAGGAGGACAGGGTTTCAGGGGTGATGTGTGGGGGAGCCCGTCAGGGCCCACAGGGGGCAGGATACCCAGCCTCCCGCCCGAGCACTACCTGTGCGGTTGACGTCCAGTGGACAGGAGCTCCAGGGGAGCGGGGACTGGAAAGAGTTGAGGAAATACCACAGCACCCACGTCAGGACAGTGTTGTAGTACAAGCTGACCAGGAAGGACACGGTGACACAGCCCAGCCCTATGGAGAGGTACGGCTGGTGCACGGAGCTCCAGACACTCAGCAGCCTGCCCCCCTACTCGCCCTCACCCCCGAGACCTCCTGCTCTCCCTCCCCATCACCCCCAGGCCCCCCTCCCCCCACCCCCTCACTCCCAGGCCTCCCCCTCCCGCCCCACCACAGGCCTGCATCAGGCCACAAGCACCGAAGGAGACGCATTGTTTTCACTGCCACGTGGCACTGTCCTCAGCTGGGCTGGGTCTGCCGCTCCACCGGCTTCCTGGAGGACCTTGTACTCACCACCTTGCGGCTCACTGCTCGGACCCCCTCCCTGCAGCACCACCTCATGGCACTGCAGCCGTCAGGCTGACCTGATTCTCAAGCTCCCAGGACGTGTGGTCTCAGTGCCCGGGGGACAAACACCCAGGTGAACTGGGACAGCTTGCCACTCCGTGGAGTGGGCCTGCTGCCTCCTCCTGCACCCTGAGCCCACCCCACGCAGCACCCAGCACCCAGGTCCCTCCTGGGGCTTCGGGGGAACTGCACAGGGCCTCCTAGAGGACGTGTGCTCAGAGCTCGGCCACAGTTAGCTCCCACAGGGGTGCTGCCACGCGTATCTCCCTGCACTGCTACATCCCAGCCCCGCTTCAGCAGATCCGAAGCCACCACAGGTGTGCTGGCGTAATGAGCTAACAGGCAGCACACACGTGACCTGCAGACCTCTACCCTCCCCACAGCTCTGGGCAGGGGTCAGAGGGAGGCAGCCTACCCACTCCACCCAGGTAGGGCGAGATGGCCGTCCACACCCCGATGCTGCCTCTCCGCAGGCGCTGGCCGATGGCCAGCTCGACGTAGAAGAGCGGGATTCCCTCGAAGACCAGGGCGATGAGGTAGGGAATAAGGAAGGCCCCTGCAGAGACACAGTGGTCAGCAGATGGTCACCGACTGCCTCGTGAGGCCTTGGCTGGGGGAGTGGTGCCCTCGGCTGCCCTGAGAGGGGGACACGAGCCTGCACATCCAGTGTCTGGTCTGTTGCTGTTCAAATCCCACCTTGTGATGCTTCGGTGGCAGGTTTCATGCAACAAAGAACAGCCTTGTTCTGACGGGAGCACCCGAACCCCGGTTACAGGGCCTCCTGTGACATGGGGCTGGTCTCTGCTCCCAGAGGGATGTTGGAGACAGTGACGTTTGAAGTGGTCTCTCGAGTTGTGTGCCTGAGTGGGGGCTGGGACCCATCTCTGTGCCTTGGCGTGAGTGTCCCCTCTGCACCACCGTCTGGGTGCTGGGAGGAGGGCACCCGTAGCCACAGTGCGGTGGGGGGCTCCATGGTCCCTCAAGGGAGCACACATTGACCAGCCTCATGGGCCTGATGGGAGAGCTCAGCCTTCAGCTCAGTGAGCCAGCGGTGGAGGGAGCAGGAGATGAGGCCACAGGTGTGAAGACTGAGGGGCCCAGCCTCTCCTGAAGCCCACAGCCCTTTAGGGGTCCCACTGGATCCCCACGTCCCATGGGACTTGTGGGTGTTTCTCCTACTGCGAGGGAAGGGCATCCTGACCGGCCTCACCCTCCCAGGCCCCATACAATCAGGAGCTGCATCTTTGTCTGGGTAACCGCAGTCCGTGGGCCCGCTGGCCGTTAGGTGCTCCAGGACTGATCCCTGCAGCTGCACGGCATGGCCGGCGAGGCCAGGGAACCGCACTGACCAGCATGAGTGTGGGCCCCTGATGGTGCTCCCAGCATCTCCCGGTGTCTCCTGACTTGGCTGGCACGGCACAGGCCCAGCATCTGGGAGCCAAGCTGCCAGCCTATCTCTGAGTTTTGCATCACCATCTGAGGTTTTGACGCTGAGTTGGGGTAGCCACTCAGCCCACACCAGCTTCTGCAAGGGACTCCAGGGTTTGGGGCAAAACAGTGCCTGTTGGTGTCTTCTAGGCGGTGGCAAAACCACAAAATGAGAGAACAATGTGGAATTCTGGGAGACTCGGCCTCAGTGGGTGCACCTGACACCCCCGGGACGACCAGGGGCCTGTGAGCAGGGGCTTGGAGCTGGGGGGCGGATATAGCCCGGACCACTTCAGGGCACTCCTGGGAGGGAGATGGGTCATTCACAGGCCAGGGGTCCAGGGCCCAAGTGTAGGAGGCCTCCTAGCCTGCCCTTCCCACACCCTTCCCACACTGTGTCATCGATCCTCTGCAGGTGCATGGACTCCCAGCCTCCCTTGGACCTCGGGCACACACCTGTGGCAGGGTGAGGACCGGCCTGGGGGTGGGTGCCTGCCTGTCAGGCAGGGGTTCTGGGTCCTGGGTACTTGACCCACTGTCTGGAACAGGCATGCAGGCTCCAGGTCGGACCCACGGATCCCCTGCACTGTGGGGAGGGTCACAGCCTGCAGGACAGGGCAGGAGCCCAGGCAGGGCCCCAGGGGCTGGCTGAGGTCAGTGTGGCAGGGAGCACCCGGAGAGGCAGTCCAGAGGAGGAGAGGGGGGGTTTCTCTGTCACCGAGCTGGTGTGGCCGAACCTGTCACTCCTCGAGGCCAAGAGAAGGGGAAGCAGCCCTGCGGTTACAAACAGAAGCCACATGGTCCAGAGCGTCGGCCGCTGCGTGTTAGGTGCATTTTAGCCCTAGCCTCAAAGCGTGTGGACCATGACCCGGGTAAAAACCAAGCCAGTTTGGAGGAGGGCCACTGGTTGCGGGAGGACCCAGGCACGTGATTAGAGGTGGGACTGTGAGCCCCACGCGGCCCCTGGGCTGGGGAGAGGCCGGAGGCTGCATTTCTCCCAGGCTGGTGATGCCACGAGCTGTGCGTCCAGGATGGAAGCTCCGCAGGAGCCATGAGCACGCAGGAGGGCAGAGTGGCTCCCACGGCCGCCCCTGGCTGCCCTGGAGCTGTATATTCTTTATGACGCCAGGTCCCGGTGCCTATGCAGGCTCTTCACTGTGAGCCGTGCTAGGAAGTGTCTGAGCCTGAGGAGTGGAGTAGGCATCCAGGGAAACACTTCTCGACACTGGGTCCTGCCATCGGGGCAGCAGGAGGGCCAGCCTTCACCTACGGGGTTGGCACGCTCAGATGGAACATGCGTTGGGCTCGGGGGGATGGCTCAGGGTGGGCAAAACCCTCCCGCATGCAGTGTCAGACGCCGAGAAGAGTTCCTTCTGGCCCTGCCCTCAGCCCGACTATGGGGCAGGGGTGCAGATCGTGGCGCGCATGCCCACGCGGTGGATCTGTGAGTACCCTGTGCTCCGCTGGCCCCAGGCTGCGGGAGGCCGTGTTCAGGGTCCCGACCACTGAGAAGATGCCAAGGACAAGAAGCCCGGTCTGACAGGGTCGGCTGCACACCTGGTGCTGCTGAGAATCAGCGAGATGGTCCTGGAGCCCAAAAGAGGACAGAGAGCAACCAGCCGTCTCTGCGGGTGGGGCGACCCGGAGTTGCCAGGGTGGCCGCGCCTCCCAGATGATCTAGACACCCCACACGAAGCCTGCAAAGCCCCGGGAGTCTCCCGTGGAGATCAACAGCCTGGCTGTGACGTCCGTGTGGCAGCTGCGGCCAATGCAGAACGACACAGCTGACGAGTGAGAGGCCCCACCCCGCCGGCCGTCTGGATTCGCGGTCAGACCACAGTAACGGCATCCACGTGCCTTTCCCTGCACGAATCCGCTGCGTCCATGGGGCCCACGGACACCGAGGTCAGAACATGGCAGTGCAGGCGTCAGGGGCCACTTACGGGTGCCCCACCTGCCCTGCCGTGGACGCGGGCAGGAACCTCGACCCCGCAGGTGCTGGAGGCCCTGGGGTCCACGCCCCCGACCGCAGGCGCTGACGGCTCACCTGAAGCCGCAGCAGACCCCCTGAAGGGCCGCCTGAGTGTTTCCCAGCTCTGACACGGTGGTGCCTTTTAAGTCTCATTCCTTAAGAGTCGAATAATCACTAGGGAGGCAGGAAGTAGTCACCCTCAGGGGTCCCGAGTTGGTGCAGAATAAAGATGCGGTGGGTTATCTGCTTGTTGCTTGCATCCTCTTATCAAAACGGTCGGTCATGGGCAGTGAGACCAAAAGTCATTTTCACGCGTGAGGAGGTGCTTGTCTAGGACAAGTGTAAGTTCTGAAACTTGAGTATTTATGACGTTGCACTAAGGCTCTCACACCCAGAAATAGGGCCTACAAGAAGAGTTTAAACAGCAGGGCCCGCAAAGCCCTGAGCGCAGGCGTGCCGGGTTGACCCTGGCCCCCAGGGCCCTCGGGCAGGCAGCGCCCACACACGGCCCACGGCGACAAGGGTTCCGGAATGGTCGGTCCCAGGAAGATCCCAGCAAGTCACAGTGCTGAGCAGTGGCCACCCGGTTCTGGTCAGTGCGGCGTTTACTGACCTGGAGTGACCACCGGCATGGGGGTCACTGCTTCGCCCCCAGACGTGCCTCTCCTGATGCCTGGGGCAGCACGGGGAGCGATCTGGGTCTTCTGTCCGGTGCCTGGGGTGTGGTGTGCCTCGGAGACTCTCGTTCTCAGGTGACCACAGCCCATGGTGCCCGCCCAGCCCCTGGCCCGAGTGGCTCTGATGCCTCTAGGGCAGCAGTTCCAAGACACATTTCTCCTCCAACTCCTCAAGATTGGGAAAACAACAGTAAACTTTCAAGAAGCAGTGTTGTTGCAAACAGGGAGGCTGCACCTTCCAGTGCTCTCGCCTGGTCTGCTCCACAGTGGTCGGGCTACATGTCCCCGAAGTCCCCAGCCCGTGTTCCCCCAATGCAGCCTGACCACTGCCCACATGCCACTGCCAGGAGGGCCACTGCATGCCCTTGAAGGGGGAGGACGGCTCCCCTTCAGAGAAGGTGGCGGGCAGCTCACACACCTACAGGCTTCCTTTTCTGACCAGTTCCCAGTGGGGCCGCACCACCGCCCCCAAAGGAAACCGTATGCACATTCCAGCCAGAGGCCTGGTGGATGCAGGAAGACTGCCCCTGGGACTTTCAGGGGGCCCTCAAGTCTCATGGGTACAGAGAGGCTAGAAGGCAAGTTGACCTGACAGGGAGACCCCATGGGACCCACGGGTCAACCCCAGAAAAGGACCAACCCAGCCCAGGGGACGTCCCGTGGGGCAGCGGGTGATGGGCAGGCAGGCTTGCTGGCACCACCACGGACTCTTGTGAAGGGACACTGGGGAGCAGGTGGCCCGGCCTGTGTGCCCTGCAAACCTAAAGTGAGCGGAGTCCAAGTGCAGTTTGGAAAGTCCCCTGAGCCCCAGAAGGCCGGGATGCCCCCGGCCTGGACTTCAAGTGGACAGGGGCCTGGGCCAAGGAGAATCGGTGTGTCCCCCGGATGCCAACCCGTGCCCCAGCCCGTGGCGACAGCTCACCTCCCCCGTAGGTCTGGCAGAGGTACGGGAACCTCCAGATGTTGCCCAGGCCCACGGCAAACCCGATGCAGCTCAGAAGGTACTGCAGCTTGTTGTCCCACTTGGGCCTCTCTGACCCGCCACCGTCGCCCAGGGGCTCCGGCCCCACAGTGCACGCCATGCCTGTGACTCGCTCCTGCCTGGGCTCCAGGGACCCTCCGGGACCTTCGCTGAGGTTTGGGAGCCCCGAGTGGTCCCCCTTCCGTGTACGTTGTCGTTATTTAAAGGAAAACCAGTGGAGCCAGTTAATTGGTAACCCAGACCAGGCTCTTGCTGGAACGCGGGCGGTCGCTTCCTGACCCCACACCCTCCGGGCCTGCACCTCCTTTCGTGCCCGAGGCAGACGGCCACCCCCTTGAGATCCTTGTGCAGCGAGGACTTCCTGTTCCCTGTCGGGGATGCACCAGGACACCCCAGACCGGGGCGCATTGAGTTGTTTTATCAAAAACATTGACTTTCTCATCAACCTTTTGATTCTGAGACAGTTGTAGACTCACTCGTGGTCGTGAGGAACGTCCTGAGCCTGAACCCACGTATCCTCTCCCCATGTCCCCCGGTGGTGGCCTCTCGCACACATCTTGTCCATGTCACAGCTGCGGTGTTGATGTGGACAGGTCAGTTTGACACATGTCCATCACGGGGAGGATCCCCCATCCCCTTATGGCCACACCCACCCCTCCTGCACCCCTGCCCGCCTGCCATCAGTTTCCGTTGCTGCCGTTTCGTCATGTCTGGAATGTGAGAGAAGCAGAGTCCCCATTGTGTGACCTTGGGTGGGCCTGCTTCTCTTGGCGTCCTCCAGGGACCTGTCCGGGGTGCCGAGCCCCAGCTGTGCAGGCGCACTGTGTGTCACCATGCACACAAGAGTGGCAAGGCCGTGTCCTCGTGCTCACGTGGGATGAGTGTCCAGGGAGGGGTCTGTGTGGTGTGATGCGCTGTGTTCATTTCTAAGCGACATTTGTTTCTCAGACGTTGAGTGTAAACCTTCTGGCTGGTGGCATATGTCCCTCTTCTGGGGATGTCCATGCACACTGCAGGAGCTCCACTCAGTCCTGCATCCCCAGGCCTCCGTGGTGGCCACACCTGGCCCAGGCCCCCGCCAATACCCATTATCTGCAGGGACACAGCTTAGGGGGAAGGGTGGGGGGCCTGTGTTCCAGAGGGGCTCCTGGTGGGGCAGGAGGCAGGGGCAGGGGTAGGGGTGGGAGGGGCTTCTTCTTTTCCTCCCAGTACCCACTGGCACCCTCTGGCAGCAGGTAGACAGCAAGAGACCCTTGGCCACAGGGGAGGGTTGGACTCAGCCAGGCCAGAGGATGTGTGCATGTCCCCTCCGCGTGGGGTCCTCCTTCGGTGGGTTGGAGCATGATGGACTGATGAGTGGACTCAGCCTGGGCCACCCAGGGGGCCTCCTGTACCTGTTGACGCCCAGGGGATGCTTCCAGGACAGCCTGGGGCCCCGGATGTGAAATTCCGACTTCCCGGGATGCTGGTCTTACACAGGCCTAAACACATGGGTCCCAGACACGGGGGCCCTGGTAGACACACCTCCAGTGATTCTTTCTTGGGTGAGACAGGAATGTGACAAACAGAGGGCAGGGGTGCAGCCCCCAGACCAGCAGACCTGACCTCACCAGGGCACACAGCCGAAGCCCAAGGCCCACCCACCGCCTGCTTGTCGTGGAGCCTCAGGCCACGCCCAGGGCTCCTTGGACATAGCAACCTCATGTCATGACTTCTGCAGAGGGAACCCCCCTCCCCCCGACCAGAGCAACAGTCCCACACTGCCCTGAGCGACGAGGGCCCTGCTGTTCACGCGTCCCTCTGCATTTAGACAACATTTAGGCCAAGCCTATGAAACAGTGATTTATTTAGACAAGTACACATTACACCCACAAATACAGCAGGCTTGTGAAACAGGTGCTCATGGGGGGACAGAGGGACTGACTGAGCCCCCAGGCCACACACCTCAGGCTTCTCTACACGTGACTGGGAGGGCAATGTGTCCACAGGGTGCCAGTCCTGTTCTGTCTGTGGGGGTGCTTTGGGGAGAGGAGGGCAGAGGCTGTAGTGATGCAGATGGGGGCTCCCGGGCAGGCACACGCCATCATGGCCCTGTGGGGTGCTGGGAGCTCCCTGAGGTCTCTGCAGATCATGTCACCACAGGATGGAAGGCAGTGGGATGGGGACAGGGCACTGGGGCATCCAAGTAGGGGGGACATTGCTCCAAGACCCACCCTCCACTCAAGTCCTCACCCCTGACGAGGGGATTCTCAGAAAGTCCAGCTTAACTTAAACTTCCAGATTTTTCCATGGAGAGTGAAGATGAGGTCATTAAAAAAACCACCCCATGTGCCAAGTGACTTTGGCTGAGATCAGCTGTCAAATCCCAGAAAACAGGCCTTCCCATGATGGGGAGGGAAGAGCGGGTGCCAGCCTTCACTGAGGGGCGCCGAGCTGATGGGCTTCCCTGGCCCTGATGCGCTGGGGACACGTGGCTTGTCCTCCATGGTGGCTGTGGCCGAGTTACCCTATAACCCATCTTTTCCAGCACCTGGCTAAAAATTCATGCAGTGAATGCCCTGGTGAGAAAACCTGGGTCTGAGTGCTCCCGTATGTGCGCAGCTGGGTGCAATGATTAACCGGCCGGCCTCACTGAGCCGGCGTCCTGCCAAGGCCCGGAGCCCTTCCCCGACGGGCAGGCGGGCAGACCCCGGAGGGACCCCACCAACTGTTCCGGAGCTCACAACCCTGGGGCTTGAGAAGGGCGGTCCTCATGGTGGGGCGCCCGTGCCCCGCTTTCCCGTGAGCTGCCTGGTCAAGGGTCCATAGCAAGGGGGAGGGGGAGCGGCAAGGAGCCTGGTTCTGAGAGCCTGATGGAGCATCAGGCTCCTGTCTCCTATGGGGCGAGCACCTAGGGCGCGGCCTCCCCAGGCACTGCAGCCTCGAGCACGTGCTTGGAGCGTGTGTGGGTGGGCAGGACCCAAGCAGGGTTGGCCCTGGATGGCAGCACCTGCCCCACCACATTCGTGACCAGGGCCAGTGAGCGGGCACCAGGCCCTGTGTGGCAGGTGTGTGTGCACATGTACAGGTGTGCACACATGGACGCATGGCTGTGTATGCACATATACACACATGTATACACACATGCCCAGCACATGTATACAATACACACACATATCATAGCCATGCCCACCATGTACCCGTGCACATATATACACACATACTGAGACATGACACACACACTTGTGCACATGCACACACACGTATGTGCCCACATGTTTGCACATACACACCACATACACACATGTGTATGCATACATGTATACACACGTGCACATAACACATGCATACACACCCACACATGTATAGACACACATGTATGCATGCACTTACACAATATAGACACCCATGTGTACATGTGCACACACCCTCACAGACCCTCCCCGACACCAACAGCTGCACCTGCTGGGCCGGCCGCTCAGTACTTCAGGTCCCCATTGATGGAGGTCGTGGATGGCCCGCTGACCAGCCCCTGGCGGTCCCCTGACCCCTGGCAGCGGTTCCTGATGAGCTTGTAGACTGCAAAGCCGGGGATGACCAGGCAGGGCACCCCAGCCACGATGACCACCACGGCGTATACCCAGCCCGGGTACGGGACCTTCTGGGATTTGGGAAATTCCTCCTGGGGAGAGGGCAGTGGTGGGAGGCCGCGTGTCCAGCCAGCAGGGTCTCCCTGGGGCAGACACCCCTCCCCCATGGGTCACCTCTTGGCCCTCCAGGGCACAGGACCCCCACTGCGCCTTCCCTGCAGCCCCTCCCCCACAGCCCATCCCCCCAGCCCACAGCCCTACAACTCACATAGGAGGGGTCCCAGATGCTGTATATCAGCTCCTCTTTGACCTTGACCACGAAGAAGAACAGGAAGATGACCAGCATGAGCAGCGGGCTGACCACTCTCCACATGACTTGCCAGAAGATGTTGGGCTTGTGGCCAATCATAAACTCGATGTCTCTGTTGAACCTGGACACAGCGGGAAGGAAGCCATCACTGGGGGACAGCGACAGGCCTGTGGTCCCATCGAGGCAGGGTGTCCGGCCTGTCCAGCCCAGACACACCATCTGCAGTGCCACAGCCTCTACAAGAACCCCGTTGGTGCACCAGCAGCCACCTCTGGGGGCCTGTGGGCCTTCTGCTGCCCCGAGGGGCCACTGCCCAGGGCTCCAGCCCATAAACTCGCCACGTGGGGTTCTGGGCGGGCATCACACAGAGCTGGGGTCAGTGCTCCTGGGGACGGAGGGCCCTGACCCTGGACAGCTCCACCATCTCCTGCCCGTCCGGGCAGGACTGTCTCCTGCACCACAGTCCACTGTCTGTAGAAGTTGGCATGGAGCATGCAGACCATGGCCATGAGCTGCCCAGGACCACAGAGAACCCAGAGGACACTTGTGGGAAGGTACTGACACCCAGGCCCTGTCCGCAGGACAGACCCAGCAGGGCCAGAGAGGGCTGTGGTGTGCCCTATGCCCAGGACTTGTCCTCCCTGCAGCACGTGGCATGATATCCCTGCCAGCGTCTGGCTTCAAACTGTCCCGGGGTGGTCACAGATGGCCAAGCCCTCACTGGGACAGTCACAGGCCCATGTCAGAACTGGCGGCTTGGTGCACAGCAACCGTCTTTCTCCATGTCGCTGGCGTGGCAACAGCTGGTCTGCAAGGGCTCCTTGCTCCCACCACCCCCAGCTTGCAGTGTGCTGCAGAGACCTGCACTCATGCAGGGAGCTCTTGCGGGTCCGGAGGAGGCATCCCAAGTCAGCGCTCCTCCAAGGGCTGGTGCGTGTTTCACGGTGACAGACACAGGCAGGCGGTGTCTGAGGCCCTGGGAGCCCAGCTCCTAGCGAGAGCCCAGGGGCCAGGTTTCACGCCCACATGGTGCACCTTTGCTTCTGACACTTGGGTTATGAATGTTTTAAATCACGTGGTCAGACCCAAGGGTCTGTGTTTTCCTTTGTGGTTGCTGTTTCCTCTCCTCCCACCCCCAGATTGCACAGCCTGCAAGTGCTCATCTCTGTAGGGTCTGGAAGCTTCTGGAAGCTGGGGGAAGCACCGTGTGGATTGCTCTGGCATCTGGTGGGCATCCGTCCGCGGCGCGTCTGCTCCGCCCTCAGCCACGTTCA